ACCTCGTCAGAATTTGAACCGTTTGCACCTCTCTATATCACGTAATCCCCAAAAACCGTTTGCACCAGGCGATGTCGACCTAATTGTGTTGATCACATCACCACGATCTTGCTTAATCTCAAACATTCTCCATTTTTGCTCCACATCAGAGTCCACTTCACATGGCCGAGCACAAGGGTGGTCCATTTTCATGTGTTTCCTCAGCTCCTTAAAGGTTCCAGCAAAAGAGCAATTCTCTTGCATACAACTCCTCCTCTTTAGATTCAGATCATCTCATGCAGGCTGCACAATTGTCGAACCTTTGACATGGCCCCTACAAAGTGGGTATTTAAGATTGGCAAGTTCAGACCTAATGTTGATCGGTTACTGATGTGATGGCATTAGTTTAGCTGACGTTTTCTTGTACTGATCTAAGCAACTGGAATATCGGAATGAATAACCCTTTGGATGACAACCCTTTTCATGAGATGAACAAAGGAGAAGCACCGCATTGTGGGAACACTCCATGCAAACATAAAATACCGCATCTTCCCACTCACTCTTGTCCATCACCTTTGGACAATTGTTTGCAAACACGCTTCTCCCTACAACTCGCTTTAAAGATGTAAATTTGTATGGCCTTGCTCTAATCACGTCGAGCAGAGATCTTATGTCTAGCCCTTCTAGTTTTGACCATTCCTTGAATTACAGCACCTGAATAAGTAAATACCTACAAGCTCAGCCAAAAAAGTCCACAGAAAAAAAGAGGAGGTATTTTATTCATGGAAATGCATCAATCTACATATATATATCAAGTACATACATTTCACAAATAGCTAAGAAACCATACATATCCAACAATTTGAAATGAGCAAAATTATTACATCCATCAAAAAAGACTTTCCTAGATAACACAACAACTAAATTCCAATTATTAGCATCAAAAGGCAAATAGCTATAATTTCTTCATGAAATACTAAAAAAGAGTTTTAAAAAGACATGAAAGTAAAAAAAGAAGGAAGATGTGCCAACACGTTAGGACATCATCCTAAAGCAATGTGCGTCACCAAACATTCACGCGGCTTGGCATTGAATCAATTAATATAGAAATAATAAGAATCCTAGTTATGTTCAAGAATCCTTGAATCACATGGAGCAAAAAATGCTTTGACAAATCTCAGATCCAAAACAAATTAAAATATATCCAAATCATAAAAACTACATTACTGACAAACATTCGTTCTAAATAAGCCAATCTTTTTTTCCGTTGGGGAAAATAAATTCACTATCCAAATGATCTCGTCCTAGCCTGGTTAAGAAGTATGACTTGCTGGTTTGTCGTCTATGTCAGGAAAATTTAGGTAGTAACTCACTGATACCTGACGAAAGATCGTCCACGCAAGGTAAAGTCAGGTAATAACCCGCTATTACCTACTCTACATCATGTAAAGTGAGGTAATAACCTCCTGTTATCTAAAGATACGTCGTCTATGTCAGGTGGAACCAAGTGATAATCTGCTATTACCTGGCGATACGTCATGTATGTCATGTAAAATGGAGAAATGACTTGTCATTAGCAAGTGAGACCTCGTTACTACAATATTATCAAGTCGTTAACGTCGTTACGGTGTCGTTACAAGGCTAGTTAATTTATTTGATATAAAATAATAGACGTCTATTAAGATAACTACGCATGGACTTGGCGGTGGGAAGTACAACGAGGTCCATCATTATCTTGACTTCATAATATAAAGAAATAAGAGATTCAAGTATATCAAGAATCCCAATTATATAGGAGATAATCTTGATCCTAATCCGAAAAGGATTTGATCAAGTCTTATAAATAGAGACATCTTAGAGAGAAGGAGATCATCAGAAAAACGCAGAAAAAACCTGAGAGCTACATCTTCACAACATCCCTGAGATAGCAACCAAAGATCTAGCTTTGTTTTCTGTGTCCAACGAAATTCTTTATAATGCTTTAGGCATGTAGACGTTGTAATACTATTCGGCTACAAACCTACTTCGTTGATTAATAAACTATACTTCTCTTTATCATCCCGTGGATATGTGTACTTGCGAACCTGGTTAAATTTTGCCGAAACACTTTCCAAGCTGATAAACAATTCATACCTAATCTTCAAGGATTCAGGAATCAAATTTGAATTGCATAACCTAACCCAAACACGAAAAGCCATACTCCCAAGGAATCAAATTTCACCTAATTCTGAAGTTTGCAATGCCAAAATCAAACAAAAAATTATAAATTAATATACAAAGAAAGGTCTACGTGTAAGTCAAACACGACTGAGATCATAATAAAATACGCTGAAAATGGAGACAAGGAGAGGGAAATGCAATAGTGATTGTAGCCGTACTAGATGAGTATGAGTCAGAGATTGAGATTTCAACTCAAGAATTTAGGGAACAAAGGAAGTTTAGGGTTACGAGACCGGCGACGTAAAAATAACGCCGTATAAAGAGAGATAGGAAATTATGAGATGCAGGGAAAAATATTAGAAGCGCCTCGACGGCTCCATATTAGAAATTCCTCTCTTTCATGACGTTAAGGGTAGTGTTGTGGAAAGCTACAGACTCACACGCTTCTTCTGGGTGTTAGATTGACGCGCATGTCTTTTTAAAGCACCGTTAAGTGATGGACTAGACAATGACCAATGGCCAATGAGAAAATAAGGATGTGAAAATAAGCTCAAGCATATATGGTTAGCCTTACTCCATGTCAAACTTTTTAAGCTCTTAATCCTGTATTTTAGTAACAAAGTTTAAAAAAAGTTAAAGTAAACTATTTTTGGGTTTAGCAATGGCTATGTTTTTAGATTTTAGTTTTTCCCTTGTTTGGATAA